TTAAATTATTCAGTGCTCGGCCTCCTGGGGCCCTCGCAGGGCCCTGGAGGCAGTCCAGAGGCGACTCGGGACGAAGTACCGGCCCCGGGCAAAGGGTCGGGTTTTCGGGGGCCGCGTTTTGCCCAGACACCCGGCCGCTCCAATTTGTTCGATGCGTGGTCCCTTGGGGTCTGGACCATTTCCCTAGGACCGATTTTTCGTCCCGAGGTGTTTTTTGAAGGTCCCGAAGCCCGGCGAGGGCCCCCGGGGGCTGAAAACGGCAAAAAAATGGCCGCTCCAATTTTTTCGGAGCGTCGGATCTCTAGGTGTATGTATATGAGTAAGATGATGCGTACAAGCACAAGTGGCATGAATGCATGAAGGAGGAGGAAGCGGGGCTGGGAGGAGGAGGAGAAGGAGGAGGAGGAGGAGGAGGGGGAGAAGGAGGAGGAGGAGGAGGAGGAGGAGGAGAGGAGGAGGAGGAGGGGGGGGGGGAGGAGGAGGGAGGAGAGGGGGAGGGGGAGGGGGAGAAGGAGAGGAGGAGGAGAAGCAGGAGGAGGAGGAGGTGGAGGAGGGGGAGGGGGAGATTTGAGGAGGAGGAGGAGGATGAGGAGAGGGGGAGAAGGATGGGGAGGGGGAGAAGGAGGGGGAGGAAGAGGAGGATGAGGAGGAGGAGGACGAGGAGGAGGACGAGGAAGGAACACGGACGCACGGACCCCTCTGGAGTTGGTGTCTGCGACAAGGCTGCCGAGATGCTCCAGGACTAGAGGGGAGGAAGACGAGGAGGAGAGGGACGACATGGGCCTCGGTACCCGACGTCGTGAGAAGGTCACTATCGAAGCCCCCCCCCTCCTCCTCCTCCTCCTCCTCCTCCTGCTCCTCCTCCTCCTCCTCCTCCTCCTCCCCCTCCTTCTCCTCCTTCTCCAGAAGCCTACAGCGAAATCACCGCCGCCCCCTGCCTTTCAGGACATGCTTGTGCGGCCAAACGTTTGGGCAAAGCTACTCCAAATCCTTTATTAATGACCCCCTCTATAAAACTTGACCCCCCTCCAAATGCGACCTAACATTCCGGACCCCCCTCTCCGACGGGGCGCCTTAACACACCGGACCCCCTAAGCTCCAATCCAAAGAAACCGCCCCAACAATTAACCGGACCCCCCTAGTTACAAAAAAGGCGCCTTAAAAACCAGACCTGGGGGACGATTAATAAGGGATTTGGAGTACGGTGAAATCACCTGGAGGACATGCCTGTGCGGCCAAACGTTTGGGCAAAGCTTGACCACGCTATTGGACCATGCGTTCCCCTAGCCGCTGTGTTTGGGGAACACGCAACCAGCGAGAAGGAGGAGGATGAGGAGAGGGAGGACAGCTGAGCGACGCAAGAAAACGGGGTCGTCTGCGCCGACATTGGCGCGTAAGCTGCCTGCGCAATGTCGTGCGGAAGCGCCCTAGTCTCCAAAGTAGCGTGCCGCGCCGGCGGCTCGCGCAAAGCACCGCGTAAGGTCGCTGTGTCATCTCGCGTAAGACCCGCTTTTTATCGTCGCGCAGCTGGAGTTGCTGCGCCGGCACGGGGCGGCGCTGCCTGAGCCTGCCTGCGCCGCCGCCGTCCACGGGATGCGCGCGGGCGGGCGCGAGAATTTGGTCCGCGGGAAGTTGTCGAGATGTCGGACCTCTCGACAACTTCCCGCTTTCCAGCGCGAAAGCAAGTTCGCTTTACGAGGTTTTATGTGTGATACTGTTTGTGTACATGCTTATTCATGTGTTTGTTCACGTGCTTGTCGTTGTACTTGTTGCGTGGAATCTCTTTGAACAGGCCACCCTTTATTACTTGGAGTCCCCGCTGGCGAAGGTCCTGGGGCGGACCCGCATGGAAGAAAACAAGACATCGGATGCTCTAGGGTTCTCCCCGCCCATGCCCTTCACTCCACCCCATCCCCCCAGCCTTCCTCGGCTGAAAAGGTACACAACAGGGTTGGACAACCAGGGTGGGGGGCAATGTTTGCTCCACGCAGCCAGTTGCGGCCCCGCCGCACAGGCACTCTCCGATACGTTTGCACATCCGTTGCCAAGAGGCGCTTGGAAGACCAGTTGCATGCGATTGATTCTTGAACCCCCCTTTCCCTTGAGATCCGTCGTCGCAAAAATATGTATCAATCAATGCCCGAAGCCTTGACCCCAACTTTCTGCAGCAGGTCTCAGGCCCGAATCGGAGCGAAACCGGACGGCATTGAAAAACTGCGACACCTTTAGAGACCCGACGTATGTCAAGCGATGACAAACATGGATTAAGGGGGCGTGGATTAGCGACGGGCCCCGCTTCCATGGGAAATCGCGGATTTCAGCCGCCGAGCGAGGCGGCACTGGCCGCAGTTGGGGGAGGGCACCTGCCCCGATCCATGGATTAGGCGACCGCGCGCCAAATCCATGGATTGCTAATCCATGTTTGCGCGCCCCCGTCTTTCAAGACCCGGCGTATGGCCTTTGCTGCGTACAGGGTTCCCAGAAGTCCAGGTTCTCTCCCCACGGGCCAGCACCTCATCCCCGGCCGTTCTCGACGCGGGGCCCGGCGAGGGCCACCGGAGTCCCAAAACAGCGAGACTGACCGGACGCGTTCCACTGCTCGCAAAGTGCATACGCGCAAGCGTCCGGCGAAGACACATGTCTGCTTCGATGTAATTTTCTCGGATGCAGGCCATTTGCGAGTAGTCACTCTGCGAGAAGTGGACCGCGCTCGTCGAGAGACTCCTCCGTCTGGTCCTTGCCGAGTGCGTTGGAGGTCTGGGCGGCCCTGAGGTTACGGCGGGCTCGTCCCTCTACAGGAGGAATATTCAAAAGTAGCTATAAAAATATAGTACGGGGGCGATGTTTGGACGAATTTTGCTTTTTTTTGTATTCTCCATGTGTTTAAGATGTTTCCTCAAAAATCCACCTGTTGGGGGACACGCCCGACCTGGCCCCGAAGCCGAGGCGCGCGCGCGCGTTGGAGACGAGCGGGGCCCGGCGAGGGCGCCCCGGAGGCCGAAAGCGTTCGAAAGCCAAGGTCAAAATTGGCCAAGCGCGCTGGACGTCGTCGGCCGCGCGCAGAGGGAGGGCAGGGGGAGGGGGAAGGATTGCAAAAAAAACGAAGGATTGCAAAAAACGAAGGATGTGTTGCAATCCTTCGTTTTTTTGCAATCCTTCGAACGGAGGTTCTTTTGCAATCCTTCGGTTTTTTTGCAATCCTTCGCTTCCTAGGAGGAGGCTGCTTCTTAGAAGGCACGGGCCTTGTCTGTAGATGCAAGGCCCGCGCCTTCTTGGAGGCAGCCTCCTTCTAAGAGGCCTTCCCCCCTCCCCAAACCCCCCCTCTGCGCGCCGCCAGAGTCTGGGACTGGAGCGGTAAGCGGGCGAAGAAAGGACACGCCGGCTAAAAAACGTCTACGCCGGCAGAGCCGTGTCTCCACCGTCCGCCCACATTGTTCCTTTCAAGACTACGAGGACCACCGCGGGGATAAGTGGACAGGGGGTTGGAGGAGGAGGAGGAGGAAGAGGAGGAGGAGGAGGAGGAGGAGGAGGAGCTGGAAGAAGAAAACGCTGAGGAGGAGGAGGAGGAGGAGGAGGAGGAGGAGGAGGAGGCCGCTTCATCAGGAAGCCCGCCCAGGATTGCAGCGGGGCCCAGGGACAACTCAGCTGCGGGAAGCCCCAGGGCTCCCCGCCGCCCTCGGACATGGCGGTCTCGGTGGCTCTGCGGGCCCGTAAAGCCACCAGGACCGCGCCACATGTCCGAGGGCGGCGAGGGCCAGCAGGTGGAGGACGGCAGGGCGGGAGGGACGGAGAGTGGGAGGGAGGGAGGAGCAGACAGGAGGAGCAGGAAGGAGGATGAGGAGGAGGAGGAAGAGAAGGAGGAGGAAGAGAAGGAGGAGGAGGAAGAGGAGGAGGAGGGTGCTGAGGGTGCTGACTAAATCGAACGGGTCGGGACCCGAACGCTCGGCGCTACGGCCGCGGACGCCGCCCGCGCCCCAGGGGGATAGCTGCACCCTAGGGCCTTTCAGCGGAGCGGACGGGCGGGCCCACGGGGCCCCAGACACCCAGGAGGGGCCGAGAGGAGGCCCGCTGAAAGAACGAACCCCCCGAGCACAGCCACCCCCCCGAGGCCTAAAGGGCCCTCAGGCCTGATGAGCACCCGCCACTCGAGAGAGTGGCTGGTACTCAACCTCGAGCGACTTGAACGGGTCGCTCACCCTGCTGATCATCGAAGACTGGTGGACGACCCCCACCTCCTCGAACGAATTCTCCGTGAGCTCCAGCTTCGCCTCCCGCATCTTGCCGAAAGCACTAGAGATCACCGTGATTGCAACCAGCATCATCACGTCCACCACCTGCTCCTTCAGGCGCTCCTGGCCCCCTGGGGACTCAGTACGGCAAGCCGGCCCCTTGAAGAGGAGGAACTTGCCGTACGCGCACTCCGGGAAGATGAACACCATGCCGACCACTGAGGCGACCTTGTCCACCTTCCTCACGGGGCCCACGCGCGCCGCGCGGCCTGCGGCCCAAACCACAGGCGGGCGCGTCGCGCGAGCGGCACAGGCGCCGCCCATGAAGACCCCGCACTCATCGTAGTCCTTTCCCTGCCGCAGCCATGGCGGCTCCCCCGCGCTGCGCCCCCTCCACGTGCGCGCGAGGACGGCCCGTCTGGGCCAGAGGGGGCTGGAGGAGGAGGAGGAGGAGAAGGAGGAGGAGGAGAAGGAGGAGGAGGAGGAGGAGGAGGAGGAAGGAGCGAGGAGGCGGGGGGCTGGAGGCGGAGGGAGAAGGAGGAGGAGAGGAGGAGGAGGAGGAGGAGGAGGAGGAGAATTCGAGGAGGAGGAGGAGGAGGACTCGAGGAGGACGAGGAGGAGAAGGAGGACAAGAGGGGGACGATGAGGAGGAGGAGGAGGAGGAGGAGGAGGAGGAGGAGGAGGAGAAGGAGGTGGAGGACCGGAGGTGGAGGAGCGGTTCTGCCCCCCCCCCCCTCCGGGCACCTGCGTCGGCGAGGCCCCCGCGGCGGCCGTCGATGCCCCCTCGGCCGCGCCTGGCGGGTGGCGCGGGCTCCGAGGAGGGCGACTCGTCGGGAGGCTCCCGCCCCCCTCCCCGCTGCGGGCGGCGCAGAAGGGGGCGGCTGCGCGCGGGGGGGGGGGGCGGCTGCGCGGCGGCACGCCGCGCCTCGGGAGGGCAGGGGAGAAGGCGAGAAGAAGAAGGGAGGGAAGAGAACGGAAGAGAAGCCGAAGGGGGGAGAGAGAGAGAGAGAGAGAGAGAGATAGAGAGAGAGAGAGAGCGCGCGCGACGACGAAGAGACGATGATGACGACGGCGACGACGACGACGACGGCGACGACGACGACCACGACCACGTCCACGACCACGATCACGACCACGACCACGACCACGACCACGACGACGACGACGACGACGACGACGACGACGACGACGACGACGACGACGACGACGGGCTCAAACAGGCAGTCATGGCTGGCTGCCGTTGTGGGGCAAGCAGGCCTATCCACATGGACCTCCGCTGGCCAGGCCCATCCTGGGCCCAGGAGCTGTGGGTGTGCCTCCCTGGTCAAGTCAGGGGCCGTGTACACCACTCCTGGGCCCGGGATGGGCATGGCCAGCAGCGGTGGATATGCGATATTTATAGATCTCGTCGCCCTACGTTGCCGCCTTCCCGCTGCGCCTCGCTTGCTGTCTCGGCTCGTCATCGCCGCGCGGCGCCGTCTTGTCCCTGTGTCCCTCCTCTTTTCCCCCTGCGCCCCTCTCCCCCGTCCTTCCACTCGCGACTGCCCACCCGCGAGAGTTGTTGTTGATCCCCTGTGGATCCAGCTTCTCCAAGCCGCGTGAGCTGGGCCAGTCCGCGAGCTTGCCTGACCTGCACTGCGCCGCGCCGCTGTGCGCGTGGCCGACGCCAAAAATGGTGTGATAATCACAATTGTAATGTGCGCGCGTGCTTTGCTAGCCTGGGATGGAGACAGCTGTGCGATCCTCGGGCCACGTGATGGCCGTGAAATTCCAGGGAGCAGCAAAGGGGGGTCCAGAGAGCAGCAGAAGGGGGCGGGGCGAGGGGGAGGAGAGGGGGAGGAGGAGGAGGAGGAGGTAGGGTGGAGGGGGGGGGGGGGGGGGGAAAGGACCCAGACCTCCAACCGATCTGGAACAACATGATGGAGTTGGTCCGCAGTTTTCTGCTTCAGGATTTCCTTGCCGGGGGCCAGGACTTTGTGAAACAACAAAACACATGACGTGTTTTTTGGGGGAGGCGATGGGCGGAGAAGGATCAAAAGGGGGGTGGATGGGGGAGGCGTTAACTGCGCTGCCTAGTACTGCGCCATGCGCATGGGTAGTGTCCTCAGGCTCGGCGGCCGCGTCCGCTCCTGGAGCGGCGGCCGCTGGCTCCGGGGTCGAAGGTTCGAGGGCCGAGGCTCCTGGAGGAGGAGGAGGAGGAGGAGGAGGAGGAGGAGGAGGAGGAGGAGGAGGAGGAGGGGGTGGAGGGATCAGAGGCAGCACGCAGGAGGGATCAGAGGCTCGTGGGGGCCCGACCCTGCCGCGTCGATCCGCGACAAGCGCCCGCCAGGATCCGCCGCGGGTCTGGCCGTGTGCCGTTCTCTCACGACCCGGGTGCGTTGCGGCAGGGGGCTCGCTGTCCATCCCCGAGAGGAGGCGAGGAGCAGAGGGGGGGGATGGGCGAGGGGGAGGAGGAGGAGGAGGAGGAGGAGGAGGAGGAGGAGGAGGAGGAGGAGGAGGAGGAGGAGGAGGAGGAGGAGGAGGTGGAGGAGGAGGAGGAGGAGGAGGAGGAGGAGGCAAGTTGGGGGGAGAGTTTCCTGGCAGCTGCGCTGGCAGCGCAAAGCGCATCGCAAGCGAGCGGGCACGCTCGGGAGGCCCACCGGAGGCTCACGGGAGGGACAACGCCGCAGGGCACTTCTGCTGTGGGCGGTACTGAAGTAGACAGTAAGAATCCTGTGGGCAAGTCTGGCTACAGCCAAGACGCTGAGACAAGGAGAAGGTTGGGTTCGGAAGGGGCTCAGTGTTCCCTAGGTCCTTCCATGGCCGTTCCTCCAGCCCCCCTCGTGCACGCAGGCTCTTCGGGGGCCGGGCAGGGGCTTCGTTCCTTGTGGATCGCTCCTTACTTCAGCAGCCCGGCTGTGAGGAGAGACGCAACCTCGGCGGCGAGGGGAGCACTGATCTCGGTGCCTCTGGCCGCCTCTCTCGGCCGCTCCACGACGGCGGCGCCCCCACGCCGGGCGGCAAGGCTTGAGCCGGGCCTGTCCCTCTACGGGAGGAATGCTCAAAAATGGTCCAAAAGGAGTCTGGAGACGAGTTGTTGACAATACTTGGACTATTTTTGGACATTGTTTGCCTATCCTCAGTTTTCCTCCGACATCCGCCTGTAGGGGGACGCGCCCGAGCCAAGGCAAGGCCCGAGCGCATCCAGAGGTCAGCAGCGACGCGCGCAGCTCTGAGCTCGGCAGGCGTGGCGCGGCGGCGAGACGAGGCGCCGGCTCCGAACTGGAAGGGTCCGCCCGCCGCGCGGCTTGGCCTCGGGGGGCGTCGACCGACCGCCTCGCCGGATCCTGGCCAGGCCCATGCCTTCGGATGCAACTCTCTAGGCCTCCTAGGTGGGGTCCGAGTAGATGGGGTCGGAGGATCGCACTGCATCGTCGATGCATCGACGATGCGGCTCGATATGTAGACCGTGTTTCCCCACGCCGACGTCACCGATGCATCGCCGCCGTCGCTGATGCATCGCCGATACATCGGCGACGCATTGGCGATGCGACGCAATCCTTCGACCCCATCTACTCGGACCCCATCTAGGAAGCTTCTGGATTCCTGGGAGGTCGGATTCTGACTTTGCCCTGGTCCGAAATCCGGATGGCTACGGTCTCATCCCGCTGAATGTGGCTCCATCACGCTTATAATCCGGATTGATCCCGCCGAATCCGCGGCCTGATCCGGCGTAGCAGCCCCCCAATGGGGCTCAATCCGGCTTAATTTTTCCGACGACGACCTCCCATGCAGTGGCTGCCGCCGAACCTCCTCTAGGCCCGGGATCCGCGGCCTGATCCGGCGTAGGAGCCCCCCCAATGGGGCTCAATCCGCTCAGTGGCTGCCTCCTAACCTCCCTGGGCCCAGCATCTGCTGCCTAATCCGTCGTACCACACATTGTGCTTAATCCGTTCCAGTCCTTCCGACGATGACCTCCCAGTGGCTGCCTCCCCACGGGGTAAACGGTGCAAAAAATTACCGGCGTTTTGAAAGCGTTTGCACCGCAGGGTTTTTTTTTTGCACCGCGGGGATCAAAATTTGCACCGTTGGGGTTTACAACGCAACGAAAAATTTACACCGCTGCGTTTTAAAATTTGCACCGCGCCGTGATCATGATTAACACCGCCCCGAGTTAAAATTTGCACCGTTGTGAGCTCAGTATTGGCACCGCGGCGTTTGAATTTCGCACCACTCCCACCCGCCGTCTCAAAACTCAAGAATGGTATAAACGCCCACGCGCCTGGCATACTTTCGTATGTGGTGGATAGTAGTAGTAGTAGTAGTAGTAGTAGTAGTAGTAGTAGTAGTAGTAGTAGTAGTAGTAGTAGTAGTAGTAGTAGTAGTAGTAGTAGTAGTAGTAGTAGTAGTAGTAGTAGTAGTAGTAGTAGTAGTAGTAGTAGTAGTAGTAGTAGTAGTAGTAGTAGTAGTAGTAGTAGTAGTAGTAGTAGTAGTAGTAGTAGTAGTAGTAGTAGTAGTAGTAGTAGTAGTAGTAGTAGTAGTAGTAGTAGTAGTAGTAGTAGTAGTAGTAGTAGTAGTAGTAGTAGTAGTAGTAGTAGTAGTAGTAGTAGTAGTAGTAGTAGTAGTAGTAGTAGTCGTAGTAGTAGTAGTAGTAGTAGTAGTAGTAGTAGTAGTAGTAGTAGTAGTAGTAGTAGTAGTAGTAGTAGTAGTAGTAGTAGTAGTAGTAGTACATGTCGGTGTCTGGTCGAGTGCGCATGTGGCCGCAGAGAACGCCTCACATTTCGAGGAGACGGACCTTTGATATTTCTGTTTCCTCCTTCTGACCTCCTCGAGCCTCCCCGACGCCATTTAGGCTCAAAATATGATCTCCGATCCATGAAGGCTTTGAAAAAGCCATCAGTGTACAAGACGCGATGCAATGACACAAAACTGTTGCGCCAGATATTGGAGAAACACATCACCACGACTAACGCCGTGCAGTATGGTGAGCGCATGCACAGGAGCCGTGTGGACAGATCGAGATTGAAGGAACACCTGCCACTCATCAAAGAGATCGCGAATTCATGTTTGAGTTGGAGTGTGACGCCCACAGCTGTGCAAGCAGCTCTAGATACTATGGTGAAGGATAAGCATGTGAGGGTCAAGAAGGGCAAGGAATTAGATTGGATTTCCCACATCGACAAGCGATTGCGCACAATGATGTCACACTGTCGAGAACTCGTCCGTCGGGAGAGGTCTTGGTTTTTTAAAGCTTGGGGCAAGATGATCGGCGAGCTCGTCTCCGAAGCGCAGGATTCGGATCAGCAGGACGAGGAGGGCGAGGAGGGCGAGGAGGGCGAGGAGGAGAGCCCGAAGGAGGTTGACATGTGCGTCGACGACTTCGAAGACTCGCAGCCGCTCGTCATCAAGAAACCAGCTGCTAAGGACCGCATGCGGGTCCATTGCAACCGAGCTCACCCTTCCTCCTCCTCCTCCTCCTCCTCATCCTCCTCCTCCTCCTGATCCTCCTCCTCCTCCTCCTCCTCCTCCTCCTACTCCTCCTCCTCCTCCTCCCATCCTCCTCCACCCACTCCTCTCCTAGCTTGAAATCTCGATTGAAACTGAAATCGAAACCGAGACCGAAATTGAAACTGAAAAACTCGCCCCCTGCAGGAGCCGAACATCAGCTACGACAGGGTGCAGCAGCGCGCGTTCCGCTGGACCGCGTCGCCCGAGGAGGATCCCATCGACTGGTGCGCGCAGATGCTCGTGCCCAAAGGCGTGCCAGTAAGATGAGGATCATGATGAAGACGAGGAGGAGGAGGAGGAGGAGGAGGAGGAGGAGCAGGAGCAGGATCAGGAGCAGGAGCAGGAGCAGG